TTTGAACATCCGTCTCTTAGTGGATGAATACAAATATAATTCCTTTATTTTCGATTAACGATTTTATAAGCTTTATAACGATTTTTGTTTGTTTTATAAGTTACTTATAAAACTTATAAAATTTTACAGTAGCTTATAAAATTTTGTTAATCTACCTTTTTTTGTTTCGTGCTCTTTATTTTAATATACACAACTTGCAGGTGTGAGAAAATCAGTTTTTGAAGTCTTAAGGATTTATTCGGCTATTTGTTTTGTCTATAGGAATAAATTATGATGAACCTAAAAGTACCCAAAATATATTTTTTTCGCTAGTCTTAAATAAAATGCGGGTAAAAATATGATTTAAAAATAAAAGAAATATATAACCATTTAAGATTTCTTAGATTCAATATTAATATTTTTCAATACATATTTTGTACTGATTTTAAAATAATAGAATCGCCATATACGTGAAATGCAAATAATCATAACGGACGTATAATATATGTTCTATATTGCAATACCCATTATAATAGTTGCGCAGAATAGGCAAATTTTCATTTTTATGCTCATGAACAGTCAATAAATTTCACCAAGTTTTACTTTTATATGGCAGTTATGTTCACATTATATTGTCTGCTTTAAGCTTAAGTGTATTTCTGTATGTTCTCTTTTTTTTTGTTCTGGAATAATGCTTTGAGGTGTGACGCAATTGCTTTTTATTCCTTTCAGTAGTCTTCAGATTTCATGTTGGCTTGATTTACGAATTTTTCTCAAACACAATGAGAATGGTAAAAAAATCATAGACTTGGTTTTGATTGCGTCACTCATTGTTTCGTTTGAATAATGAATAATGAAGGTTCTTTTCCTATCCTTTTTTCTGAAATTCGCTTTTTTTTCTTCTTCATGTATGTATATGTATGTATATGCCTCTTGTTAAGCTTATTTTCATTCATTTAATTTTTCTGATAAGTTTGAAAATTTAATGTTGAAATAGATATTGGTTTTGTAATATCCTTACACTTTAAACTCAGATTTCAGCAAAGTTTAAAAATGTTAAATAATTCCATTAGTAATTAAGTTTTCCTCATACAAAAACTATTGTGAAATTAATTGGTAAGAACTCATTTTGAGCTTTTGAAATAAAATATTACACTTTTATTTTTATTGGGTGTATTAATCTAATATCTACTAACAAAAAATGTGCGTAGAATTATCTAAAGTAAAGGGATGTCATTGCTGCCTGTTGTTGGCTAAGGTGGTTTATGAAGATTAAAGTTCCATAATTTATTAGTAGGTTAATAAATGTAATCAACTGCTTAAATAAAAAAAATAATCATAAATGACTTTTACTCATTTAAACTGATGAAAAACTGATTTTTACTGTTAATGCCAATGACAATTATAATTCATTATCAAATTATTCAAAAAAGAACATTAATACATTATCATAGAGTCTTATAGATGGTACCTATATATTTATTATACACATATATACATTTAAATATTTATATTAGCGTTGCTCCAAGTAAATTATTTTATATAATACTGCATAGTATTTTTAATTTATATCTTATGGTTTTATGAATGATTCTACTCTAAACTAAGGGGTAACTATAAATTTATCATAAATTTAAATGTTTTCTTACCAATGATACAAAGTGTAATTTTTTTAACGGAATTACTCTTAACTCAAAAAATTTAAATATTTTTTTCCTTTATCATATTTTTTAAAATTAAAATTAAACTTCTTTTTTTCGCGTAATTCCAGTGTTTCGTGGTTTTTAAATGTTAGTGAAAGTTTCTTTTTTACTTGATTAACCTCAATGCAGAATAGAAAATTGTAAAATCTAAATTACATATCGAAGTAATTTACTAAAGTTCTCACTTGTTAAAATACTAAGCTTGTTTTGCTATTAGATGATTTTCAATTTCGTACTTCAGTGATACATTTTATGTGTTTCGGTTTCTTTTTTCTTTCATTTTATTATAAAGTTTGAAGCCTTGAATATGCATCTTGAGATATGGATTTTATAAAAATCATTCAAAAAATTCCAATCTACAACGAAAGCTTTAGTATTATGAACAGATGAAACAGTGAAAAACTAATTAAACTAGTATTATGCTAAAAAAGTGTAAGTCATCAGATATAATGTCAAAAAAAGATTTTCTCTTAAAATTTTCGAATTTAAAAATTAAATTTCTGTATTTAAATTTCATCAAAAATGAATAATTAAATTTCCGAAAGATTTTTATGATGATTTTGTGAATAATTTTTTTTTACGCGTCGTCCTACAAAAATATGTACTCCAACTTTTTTTATAAATAATATTTTAAAAACAGCAAAGAAAAAAGTAAATATTTTATCGTGATTGTTCTTGCATATTAAAATACCCAACTGACAATTATCATAACTTATAATAAACAAACAACAAAGTTCAAGCACGTGTAACGAATTATGTCCCATTAAATAAATAAAGCATAACCTACTTGGAGATTGTTAGAAATTTTTTAGTTCCTGAATTATAACACCAATTTAAGGAAGCTCGTAAAGAAATATTTTGGAAACCTGCCAAGCAATCTCGCGTGCCTTGATATCTCTTACTTTTCTTCCGACAAGTCTATTTTTCTAGAATATTATAAAAATAAACCATTTGTTTTTACCAGCTGTTTCTCTTTGTAACAGTTTAAAATTCCATTTCTGAAAGAAGATTTCCGTCATCAAATTTCTCTCTTTTTTGTAAAACAAAGTCAAAATTTGTTTTTAAGATTAGAAATTTACAATTCTTCAAGAACGGTATTTATTATATTATGTGCTATTTATATTATCTGGTATTAATATCATAAAGGTAATGCCCAGTTTACCAGATGTTTCTCTTTGTAACAGTTTAAAATTCCATTTCTGAAAGGAGATTTCCGTCATCAAATTTCTCTCTCGCTTTTTGTTTGTAAAACAAAGTCAAAATTTGTTTTTAAGATTAGAAATTTACAATTCCTCAAGATTAGTATTTATTATATTATATGGTATTTATATTATCTGGTATTAATACCATAAAGGTAATGCCCGAACCAATCCCATAAGTAAAGAACAGAGGTTGTTCTGTAGTAACTGTGTCTGGCAGAAATGATATACGTGAGCATACAAAATTCTAAGTGAAATTACATAATCTTTCGAAATATACAGATAATGAAAGAGGCAGAAATTACGGTAGGAATGCCGCATTCTTCATTTAAAAATAGAAATGTTTTCTAAATGAGTTTTAACATTCTATCACAAATGAATTCAACAAATGTCACAAACAATTGTAAGTAGTTTTAAAGCAATGTTTTCTGCTGCATCTCAGACTGGAATATTTTGCAAAAGAGAGAGTAAATTTCATACTCAGGCTGCGTCGTATTGTTATTGGAAATTATGATTATATTTAAAACTTAGATTTAAATAGTTAGAATTCGAAAAAAATTTTTTTTTGACAAATTTTGTGACTGATTTTTAAATTCTGCATGAAAAACAACTGATATTCTACGCACAACGTAACAAACCATATATTTCTAATTCCTGGTACTTCTATTAATACAACACTAAGGAAAAATGTAGGATCAAAATAACCTAAACATGGTAAAATTTACAGTATTTCTGTCTCTATTGGAACACAAGAGGGCTTGCTAATTTTGACTGAAGTGTTTTAGTATTGATTTTTCAAAAAATCATCCTCAAATAAATTAACTATAAAATTTGATTTTAAAATGTTTGATAAAATTTGTTCAATGTGGCATAATTTAGTGATTTTATCATGAAACCTTAGATCAGGACACAAAAACCATTTATTCGGTTAAATTTACTTTTCAGTCTTGTATGTTTTATTAATTGTGTGGCAAATATGAACCAGAATTTATTAAACTAGAATTACCGTTAAAGTGTGACTACACGAGCATGAAAATTACCAAATGAATGGTTTAAATACCGTACAATTTGGTTTTATTACCAGAATTATGTTGTTTGTTTTTTACCAGAAATGTCATTACCATACACTGTATGATGTGACGATCAGTTTATAATATGAATGAAAATATTTTACATAAAAAATTTTACACATTGTTTTTATGAAAAAAAATAAGTTAGTTTTCTTCGAGAACTAAGATTATTGTTAAGTCCTTTTCAATTTTCTACAAACTTACTTTTAAAAATTCTCAGCTCCCCTTTGTGCAAGCATTTACCTGCCGTTAATTTGTCAAATATAGTACATTTAAAAGAGTTGTTTTCAATTGTTCCTGTATTCTTACTCTTAACTGTTTGAGCATCCTTGTGTGAAATTGTTGTAAACATATCTTCTACTTAATAAATATTCAATCATTATTTATTTTGTCGCTTTTTAATGAATACTTTTGAAATTCGAACATGTATTCAAATTGTCATTTGCAAAGTTGTTCCATATTTATTAATGATCCATCTTTAGCAGAATACTTTCATTATTCTGGTAGAATCAATCTTCTATTAATAGATATTAAACCTTCTTATCGATCCAATCGGTCTTCGCCGTCTATTCACAGAGGACAAACTGCTTTTCCTCTTTTATCTTATATTTTCCTTTACCTAATGGATTTGGTCCAGTATTGATTTTGCAGCGGCACAGCATATTATTTGAAGATGATTACACTTCTATTTATCGAGCAGTACTTAAAACATATTTTCTGTTTTGTGGAAAAAATACTTATTTAGATATTTTCTTCCTTTATTTTATTTCAAATTAAAATGGAAGAGAAAAACGAAAAACTAAAATGAATTATTGATTAAATAAAATAGTAAATATATTCCATTTCATATTTTTTTTAAACTTTGGTTTCATAATTTAAATTTTTTGGTTATTTAAGTTTTAACTTATGACTCATTAACATTTCTTTCAATTCCAGTTTATCATATTAAGATATCATATAAAGAATTCTAAAAATAAAAATTAACATTGATTTGCTTATTTACTTATTTTTAGTGCAAGCTTTGTCAACATTTTCTTCTTTTTTTGCAGATTACCATCCTTTCTTCACTGGGAAAGCTCATTCAGGAGCAGTTACTGAAACAGCTTATTGTTTCTCAACTTCTGCATTTCCCTTCGGAATTTACTTTCCATGTTGAAATCTACCATTGTTTTATACAACTGATTTTGTAACGACATAAATGTGGCAGTTTCTGAATACGTTGTCATCGCGACACACAATCTTTCTTTAGCAAAGACACTCTGCATATTTAATTTGGATACATAGCTTCCTTCAGCAAATCATGCACGTGGAAATACAGGTGGCTTTGAACTTTTTCATATCTTTTCTTTACAACAAACTGCCAAGGCGTCGAGTGAACCAGTTCGGTGAAGAACTAGATAAGGCCTTGAAAAGGAAATTCCAAGGACATTGGTATCCAGAGAAGCCTTTCAAAGGATCAGCGTTCAGATGTTTGAAAACAGCACTTCCTCTGGATCCAGTGTTCGGTATTGCGGCCCATGAAAGTGGGATGGCAATGGAGGATCTCCAAAGAAATTTGCCAGAAGAACTTAGCATTTGGATAGATCCTGGAGAAGTTTCCTACAGGTAAATTACCACTCTTTTCATCAATTATAAAATTATTTAAAAAAATATTGTAAAATAGATATAATATTATTAGATTTACTTAAAAAATTGATCGGTTATTTATTTGGCGCCTTAATTTGGAGCATACTGAGAGGCATCGTATATCGTTCTATATTATCATATTTAGGGCATGATAATGTATTTAGTTTGAAAGAACTTTAACACATACAACACATATTAAGAAGACCAACTATGAAAATTAGACTTCAATTGACGTGCAAAGTAATATAAAAACTGTATCAAACTGGCTTGGAGACAGCAGAAAATAAAGAGAGTTATCCTTATTATGCGTAATAATATTAAAATGTAATGGTGTATTTAATTTGGTACTGTAAATTTATGCATTTAGGGCATATATTAACCGATACTGCGTAGAGGAGCGATCTGATCTGGCCACATAATACTGTGCAAATCGTGCAAAAATGCCAATCTAAACATTTATATACCTATAAACCAGTCTAAAATTGCTGCGATCAGACTTGGACCGGTTATAGTCCAGGGAAAAAAAGGCGATGTTTAAAATTGTTATGAAGATGAATGAAGATGAAACACTTCTAGTTTATTTTCTAATCATGTTCTCTACGCTGAGCCAGTTAAGTAAGACTAATGATAGATCCCACTAGAGTTCCTTTAGCCAAGACAAACAAAGAAAAGAAAAGGATCTGTCCATAACTAATTTGGTGACATATGGTGACAAGTAGGCATCTTTTTGAATGACCCAGGAAATGACACTCAAGTGTGATACTTGACTGAAGGAGGTGGCATGTCAAACAGGTCAATTTAAACTGAAGATTATGTCTTTAAGTACGTCTTCTCATTTTCAGTCAGAAAATTTGCATGTCATAGCAGTTAGTCGAGTAATTTGAATTAACCCATTAGTCTGTTAAGACTGTTCATTTAAATTAAAGCATGCGTCCAATGAAGAAAAACGCAATTGGTATTTTTTATTTTAGCATATTTACGAGTATCATACTGTGGCGTATTTAGTCACTTATTGTCCCTGAAAGCTGATACTCGAAGATACGAACACTAGTTTTTCTTCTGTACCGAATGCGTTAATTAAATTTTACTACTTTTTTCAGCATTTAATGTTAAACAAAACGAAATAAATTTTTTTAATAAGTTTTTAAATACCAGCTGTTAGTTCTGAAACTTATGTTCTATTCAATTGAGTGATGATTTTCGATGAAATTTGTGACTCATTTTTATTTCGAAAATCATATTGTTCCCACTTCATTTGTCGGTATTTATCATTCGATAACAAGAGAAAGCTGCCTTGATTTTAGTAGGGTAGAAACATATTTATGATAATTATTTATAACAGTTTTCTAAACGGCAATTAATATGGAATTGTATATATATATATATATATATATATATATATATATACTGTAAAAATTTTCGTGTATCTGGTCAACGAAAAATGATGAGAACTACTTCATAACAAAATGGTGTTTTCCTAAGTGTTTCCACTACACCAAAACCAACAATAGTTCCTGGTTTAAAAAAACAGCTTAGATCTTGTAGAGGAAATTTTTTCGTTAAAGGAAATACACATATAATTAGAATTGTCGTCTGAACAGGAGAAAAATTTTGCCAATTTACAGTGTCACTTCTTCATCATGACATTTATCGTTTGCACTTCAAAATAGAAACTAAACATTCTATGTATAGGTGAAAGAGAAAAAGAATGCCATATTTTAGTATAGTATTCATGTGAATGCGTTTGGAGAAGACAGTATAGATCTATGAAGTAGTGTTTTGCACGTCACATAACCCCTAATTCATAAAATTCAGTCTCTGAAATAAAAGGAAAATGCCTTTTACCATTGCAAGAAACATATTAAAGCCTCTGATAGCTATGAGTTATGTTAGAAACCAATTAAGTGATATTTTGTTGTCACTTTCACGTCACATGGATGTACTCTTCTATGCTTACTCTAATGTTTAACTAATGCTGGAACTTCCACATTTTAAAACATGTATGCTAATGCGTAGTGTTTATATTCGTGTATTTCATTTATTTTCATATAACTTGTGCTCTAGCCAAAAAATTAGCACCGTTATATTGTCATTGTGAAAATAAAAACATTTAAAAATGTTCTTAATCGCAGAAAACCCTTATTTATAGCATTTTAAGCAATATCCATTAATTAAAAAATCATTTACTTTGAAATAACATCAATTTCTCATGATTGTCAAATTGACTCCAAACGGCGTTTTTAGGTAAGTCCTGTTGTTCTAGTGTTAAATTTAATAGAAACTACTTGGTTTATGTTTTCAAAAACTCTAGTTCCATTCAATTGTTTGATAGCCGTGTAAATCTAAAAAAAAAAAGAAAATGTCTACGCAATAAATATTTCGCATTTCTACACTCTGTCACTATATTCTATACTAAAATATATTTATCTTTATTTGTTTGATTTCGCTTAACAAATTGCTATAGTTTTGCTCCACTCAAATTTTAAGAAAAATGAAGGCAGCTTATAGTCTCTATGTTGGAAATTGAATTTTGATTTGCGAGACAATTGAAGACCTTTAGAATATACTTACTTTTCTAAAGAATTCGTTGATTAAATTGAAGATAAAAAGGAGTTGTTTAAATTGAATTCGGATATTGAGATCTTTTAACTTCTGTTTTGAAATATATATCGTACTTTAGAATATGATTACTTATATATTAAAATCATGGAATTCTTAAAACTAAATTCAAGTATTAAGATCCTTTTTCTTATTTTTTGAAATAAAATATGTTAACAAAGTAGTTCATTTTTGTATACATAGTTCTTGTATTAAAAAAAAACTAGTTTAATGAGTTTTTTACACCAAAGACAACCTTTTCCGCCTAACTAATTGTTACGACATTTGCATTACAGATGTCAGTATTTCGTACATCTATAATACAGTTTTATATTAATTAATGGCACATGTGTTTTTCATATTTCTTTTCGCAATCATTATATGTTTCGATTCATCATCTGAATGGACATGCAATATTAATAAAAGGTAGACCAGTGGTTCGCAATTTTTTTTTCGGCTATGGAACCCTAAAAAATCGATATTATTTTGACGGTACATTGAAACTTATTAAATAAACTTCATTAACATTTGTGAACTTGCTAATCAATGAAATATTTAATGATTGAAATTCAATTATTATTTTGAAAATATTTAATGATCATGGGCATTAATATAAATCACAGGTCTGGACCGTTCTTAATTTGATTTAAATGCAGTCATAAAATGAAAATCAATGGGCTGAATACGGTTTTCATAGAAGTAAAAACAAAAATTAGTGTGTAGATCAGAAAAAAACATTTAACTTAGGTAATTTGTTTTGATGGAATTATTTTGATGGAATAAATGCTTATCCTTCTCATTATTGTTACATAGCTTGTTACTGAAAAAAAACGTGTGTTTTTTAAAATTTTGCTTTTCTATCCTCAAAAGCATTTAACTTGAAGTGCTTCATAAAAATGACAGAAATATATTGATTGTAACTTTCATATTTATTGTGCATACGTGGGTGAAAAGCACGTTTAATAATTGACCATAACTTTTAACTTTTATTGATTTTTTACCATGCTTTGCAAACCATGATTAAGATTTGCTATGCTTTAATAAAATCTACGCACCATAACATGCTTTCAAAAAAAAAACGTAAGATTAATGGTCACAGATAATGGACACATGTTTCTATGCGTGGCTGTGAAATTGGCATGTGCGAAATCGATTCAAAAAACCAAATCTTCAGGCTGTTATATCTCTACGTGAGTGATGCTCGATGTTAAATATATTGCTAGGGAATAAATTGTTTGTGTACAAATGTAAATTCGAGGAATCATTAACATAACATGATGTCGACGTTGAACGTCGCCACATGACTACCACTAATAATATTAAATACCAATTCAGTGATATAAAAGACATGTTTGCTCAATTCTATAACTTCTGATAGATGAATGTTGATATGGTCGTAAGTATATTTTGTTCCTTAAAGGCACCGCCATTGCATCACGGGATAATCGTATAACGTTTCCTTATAGACTAAATTAATGTCGATACATAATTAGGAGTATGATTTTGGCACTTTTCTATCTACGATCGCTGCGTCAAAGCGTGAATACAAGCTTTAATTTTTCTTTCTAGTGTATAAGTGGTACGATTCGCAATTATTACCAATTGTGGACTGAGTGTCAAAACTTGGAATGAATAAGTAAGACAATGTGCTATAAAAGTTTTACGGTAATAAGTCACTGAGCTATTTGAGACATAATTAAGATCAATTTTTGCTGTGTGTGTTGTTAAATCCATAAAGTTTGCTTTTATGTTCTTTAATACTTTGTATGTCTAATTTACGCATAATTTTATTTGTGAGTAATAGAACTTTATTTCGACAAAACAGTGCTAAAAATAAAATGTTATAACAAATTTATAGTAATCATTTTTATCATTTAGATCCCTAATATACAAAATAAATTTAATTAAGATGTAATCGAAAAACTATTTTTTGCCTGCTTCAAAAAATAAGTACTTTAAATAGGGTTGATTTTATTAAAAACAGTTACTTTCTGACTGATAAAGCCACGACTTTGCTCAATCAATTGCCACATTCTTTAAAAACTGCAGTTAAGACATTCATATTATGATTTGGTATTTGCTAATTTTAGTTTTAATCTTGTGAATTCTATACTTTACGTTAAACATATTCGATAAAATCCAATATCATAATTTCAAATCCTTTTTCGCTTCATTTCTTAAGTTAAATGACTGAGGCTATGCGTGTTAAATTGGTAATGACCTAGTGCTCTTGGCAGTGAAACTAGGGCAAGTTTTAACAGTACTCTTTCAGGTAATTAAAGTGTGTAGTGCGTGATAAGTAGTAGAACTGAGTTTTGTTGGCATGGAGATAGAGTTAATGGAAATGACACAATGGCTGATTACTCTAAAATAGTTTTACTATGTTTTACACCAGCTGAAGGCTCGTTATTCATACAATGGGAAAAAAAGTAAATGATAAATACAATCATTATTAATCAGCACTACGAAATAATGCATAGAACTGGAAGATGCATACCAACACAATTAATTGAACTAAAAAACTATTTCATTTTTTTCTTTTTAATATTTTTTGCCCTTCCCGGTTGTTTTATGTTAACAGATTTAGCAAAACATGCTTATCGAAGCTCGTCGATTCAAAATAAAGATTAATTTTATTCAGTATCATTTGGCATAATGCTGTTGCTAAAATCAACTCCCCCTAGCGATAAATTACCAAAATCTACAACTTACTGATTTACGATTTTCTTTTTCACATACTTATGCCCTACCAGGAGGCCTTTTTCAAGTTAAATAAATCACGTGTGGCGTAACTACCACTATAAATATTAAATATCGAATTACTAGTATATAAGACATGTTAACTTGATTCTATCTTGAGGTACCTTTTGATAGATGAAGGTTGACATAGCCGATAATTAAATCCCCACACAAGTTTTTATAATTTCAAAAATGTTATTTTCTTAGCTGTTTCAACCCGCAATTAAACAGTATCAATATAAGAAATACGTGGTTGCATATGCTTTTAGATTAGAGCCCTTGAATTAGAGTGGTCGACTCATCCTCCATTTTGGAACAAAAACGTTCAGCTAAGCGGAAGAGCTACAAGATTTGGAAAACTTGTCGCTACAAGCGACACAGACATCAACTAGGATAGTTCAAACTCTCATGCAAATGTTAACACTACGTAACTAGCGAACTTGTTTGCTCCATAATAGCTGATAGTTCAGCACCCACTGAAGAGGAGCCTTAACTATAGATACATGATTGCTGTGATGTCATTCTCATAAGTTACCAAATTATTAAGTTGATTTTACTTGTTATTATAACCTAAGTTATTATCAAGTTACTAAGTGAAGTTACTAAGTTATTATAACCTAATATAGAAAACCTAAGATAAATAATTCATTAGAACGTGTGATAAAACTAAATATTGAAAGCTAGTAAATCACTCATATATATTATAATATATATATAATTCTAATGAAAATTATTTCTTCCGAATGCAAAACGTGTATCGGTAATTTGGGTAAGCGGAAAGAGTTTTAATGTAAATAGTTAGGTCAGCTGTGTCTTTAAACGTATACCTATATACCAAATTTGGTGCGGATTGATTCAGAATCGCTGTTTTCTTTAAGGTACATGTATACACACATACATCTATAAACATTCTGATTTTTTTTATATGAATAGACAGCCCCATTTAACTGTTTTTAAAACATTACCATTTCTTACATATAGTACCATTTGAAATTTACGAATGGATTTTAAATTATTCAGGTAGTAAAATTTTATTAGATAATAAAACTAAAAAAAAAAATAAGTAAGAAGAAAAAAGGTTAAGGTTAAGTTATAGAACATTTGGAGTAACTTAAGACGAATAACTCCTGAATTCAAAAGTTTGATTCGTCCTTGACATTTAAATGCACATTTTAATCCAACCCTTCCACACTATAATAAAGAAATATTTTTTATTTTAAATTTTAAAAAAAATCATTAAAATGCCTATTTTTTTTCTATTTTCTATATGACATACGCAGTTACTTGCAACTAATCATGCTCATACTCATACACATATTGCTAATATTTAATATACTTTGCAAGAAATTTTAACATTGGTAATTTGGGGAAGGCTCATTAAAGTAATATAAGTTCTTCAATTATAGAAAATTTGTATTTCTAGCATTACTTTATGACATAGGTGAGTATTATTGTTAATAGTAGATATAGTTAATATAGATAACTAAACTGCAATTTCATAATGACCGCTGAAAAATGCAATTTAAAAATGAGAAGAATGGGATTATCTAACCATATGTTTGCTCGATTATACGAGAATATATCTCTAAACTTTTCCTTTTAGAAATTCCCGTGTCATATATTGTTTATGTGAAAGTTAAAATATTCTGAAATATATTTGAGATTTGATGACTATTTTTTACTTACGCAGGTTAGGCGAAAAGGGATGCGTCAAGATTTTGTACTCTGAATCAGAAAGTTCCGAAGACCGCGCTGATCGTGAAATCTATCGTACTTTCAATCCAGAAGCCCAATGTTTCAAACCCATCGACTCTGTTGCATCTCAGCTGGGATCGATGTCTCTTTCATCCGGCTCTTCCTCTTCCAGCAGTCCTTTCGGGAATTCACCCTCACCAACATACAAGTCATCATCCAGCCCCATCACTGGCTTCCTGCCAAAGGTACAATACTCAAATCATAAACATCACTTAAATACATTTTCTATAAAAATATACAATGCAAATTGAAAAGTTTGGTTTGAAAAGTAACTTGATTTGATATTAACTTTAAGGCCAATTTGTAAAAGAAATAGTTTTAGCCCTATATCTATTGTTGGTTCTATGTGAAACAGTTCCCTAGAAACGATTTTATTTTATCAAATCCATTTTTTTGGGGTGGATATTTAAACCAATTAAACTATTTGATCAAATAAATGTAAATTCAAAAGAGAAAAAAAAATACAATTCTAGAAAAGGAATTTTTTATGGTTTTTTATTGAAAAAATACTACAGAATTAAAATATTAAAAGCTTCAGAAATTGCAAAAAAAGAAACTGATCAATCATTTCAAAATCAACTAGTATGAAAAAAAAGTTTACTTTTAGAATTAAAATATTTTATAGCAATCAGGGACTGCTGTTTCGTCCAAAAATATTTATACCCATGTCTGGAAGAATTTTATTTTATCTCGTGCAACTTATAAAGACTATCAAACTTCAATAAGAAATATATCATATGAGATTAAACTATTGCTATACTGTTATTACAGTAAATCAGAATATTTATTAAAGAAGTTATAACTGAATTGTATTTCAACATGCACTTTTGCTTTACAGGTTACTACTCCGCTCACTTTCACAACAGCGACATTCGCTCAGACAAAATTTGGTTCCACAAAGCTAAAGAGCAACGGCAAGAGGTCTCAACGCATGTCACCCACAGAATTCAGTAGCTACATCAAGCAACGTGCCATCATTCAGCAACAGCAGACACAGCTTTCTCAAATGTTTGCTCCCATTACCTCTCAGCAAAGGCCGAGATCCTTATCTCCTAGCCCACCCAACAGTGGGAGTCAACAGTCGCCACAGATAGATGCTAACAGCTTTTTGCTTTTGGCTAATCTCCAACAGCAGTCACCATTCCAACCAACACCACTAATGTCACCCAATCAGAGACACAGTCTCTATGATGGTAATTATCTAAACGATATATTTACCAATGCGTCGTCCACTGGATTGGGAAGCCAACAGAGCTGCAATTCTGGTCTTCTGACTCCAAACAGCAACCCCAGCACGGCCACAAAATCAACATCAAATCCACGAATGGGTCAAGCTGTTTCAAATGCCAATGCCCTGTCCTTGTTTTTGGACAAGGGTTCATTCAGCAATGCTACTTCTCCTGTGAATGGGCTGCCAAGTGGCTCGGTCAATTTCAAAAGCACCGCTGAGAGCGGCAACAAGAGCTATGGTGGAAATATTGATAATTTCAACGTTGGTGGAATGTCCTATCCAAACCAACATCTCCTGATGGCCAACTAAATTATTTTTAAAATTTTTCTCGATTACTATGAAAATCCTCTGATGGTATAAATTCAGCCTGGTTCTAAATCACGCGCTTATCCAATTAAATTGTTCGATAATTATAATTAAACTCAAATCAGAGGTTATTCAGAGTTTATTATTCAATATCGAGTTTATTCCAAGCTCTATTAAAATTTAGCATTACTTTTTTTAAGCTTCATTTAACTTATATTTTTAAATACTATCTGCGAGAGCAATTTTTACTTTTAAAATTTAATTTTAAACTATTGTTTAAGTATCTAAATTCTGCATACATTTTCATTTTAAAACAATTTAAATTCAAGCTTTTTAAATAGATTTAAATTAAGAAGGTTATACTTTCTAAGACAAATGTAACAGAAATAAATAAATATTACAAGTAACGCCACAACTTTCAATCTTAAATTATATATCCCGAAAAATCAGTGTTACTCCAAAACTAAAATATCTTAAATAATTCTCTGACTTGTTCATGAGGAAGATTTTTTTTCAGTGAGTCAGCAAAACTTTCATAATAAGTTCAAAGTAAAACTAGTTTACTTGGATGCTTTTTCATGCCATTTTCAAATAAAATTAAAATGAAATAGTAATTTTTCTCAAATAAAAAACAAGATTTATTTTCTTAATTGTACTGATAAATTACTGAAATTTAAAATTATATTTTTACCTCAATGCTCGATTATTTTAGAACAAATTTATTTCAGATCTTAATGTTGCGTATAAAAAAAGTTAATTTCGCAAAAACAAGAAAAGTTATCTAGTGAATGTTTTTATGAGAAGAGTTATTACGTTAAAATTACGTTAACTTGCGATAAGTGTAAAGTTGACTTAAAACCAGACTGTTTGCGATCAATTCGATGATCAGTCTCCCTTGCTATGTTGAGATATTTCTTTGGCCTTGAGTGGAACGTTAGTCTGTGATTGAAAAAAAAAATTCTTTTTTAACGCTTATTAAAGACACAAAGTCTTTCAAGAATTTGTTCGGGTAGGTAAATGGATCAGAAAGCAAATGAAGTCCCTCCTAGGGAAATTTTAATTGTCTGCAATCATTCTACACTTATGATAAATAATCATCAGGCTGCACAAATCATCGATCACTTCCTCAAAATAATAGCTTTCTTTCTCTGGGTAGGCAACCACATAATTTATTACAAATGTCGCACACAGTGGACGATGGACTCGCAAAAACAAAATTGGTGCACTCCATGCATTAAGACAAAGTTTCAAGGAAAGAACTTTTCAAATCTTCATGTGATCCACCTTAACTAAAAAAAAAAACGCCATGCCCTCAAGCATTTGGCAGCTAACAATACTTTTATCATAATGTTAAAGGAATAATTATTTTCTGAAAAAAATGATATGTGGGAACTTTTTTAAGTTTTTAAAAAAAATAATCGCTCAGAACTCTGTATAAACTGAAATGTTTGATACGGTTATGGATTGAAATGTTGCTGCGGTTTAAGTTATTTGTGATTTCAATGTTGGCAACACACCGATTCATCGTTGTCTAGTGAGATTAGAGAAAGTAAGTTGTGTGAATTAGTACAAAAGTGCATTTTTGTTGAATAGTGATCTTTTCCTTGTTAAAATGTAGGTCCGTTTTTATTGATATCTCTTGTGTTATTTTATTACTATTATGTTCATGAGGAAAGGAAGACTATTTTCTGTGACAAATAATTATCTGATTGTTGTTAAATTTCTTTTTTTATTTTTATAGTTTGTTGATATGTGTGTAAAGAATATTTTAAATTATTTATGTTTCGTATTAAGTTTTAACATTTTGCTCATTTTGTTTCTTTTTTTTTGTGAAATGTGATTTATAAAGGTTTGTGGAAAAAAATATTTTTCTGTACTTTTACTACATAATTTAGAGCTATTTAAATATCAGCTTTTCAATTGGAAGTTAAAGTTTGTGAGTGGTGCTAAATTGCTCGAGTTTTCACCTTGTTCCAAAATTGTTATAACTGCATTAAGACATAACAGACAATAATATTACATAAAATTGATTGTTCACATATTATAAAATATTAAAAAAATACTCAAGCTTCTAATAGAAATCTCTATATATACTTCAATTTTCTGACAATAATGGCTATTACTGAAACTTTTTTTAAATTTTTAAGCATTTAAAAAAGTTGACTGCAACATTTTTGACCACTGCCTTTAAGCTTTTATTAATTGCAATTCACACTTGTTGAGATAAAAAAGTCGTCATCATTTTATTTCCCATGTTATGTTTGCCGTCTGAAATGTGAACTATTTTTTTTAATTAATGATTTTAAAATATTAAGAATGTAAGCAATATGCAGAATCCTATATGTTTTTATAAATATCTAAATTATTATATGTTTAATGATCACTTAAAGTAATGAATAAGTTTCATAAAATACAATGATTTTATATATACTGGTCAAACTGAAAAAAATTATAGATAGTGTAATTTCAATGAAAACGGCTTTCTATTTTTTTAGCAAATAAGCAGCTAGTAAAATTCATTTATTTAAAAATTTAAACAAACAAAATTAAATATTAGTTTTGAATAAAGGTAAGTAAATTTTTTTCAAGAGAAATACTAGTTACTTATAGCGTTGTGGATTTGTTTTTAAGCAAGGGTTAAGTTCTTGAATCCCTAATTTATATAGTGAACTGTGTAATTTTCAATCAATTATTTTATTTACTTATAACTAAGTAAAAATGACTCACTTCGTCTAAAGATGAATTTTCTTACTCAATTAAAATTCTTTAAATAAATAAAAAAACAACCGAATCATTAAGAAGAAACATCATTTAGTTATTTATATTCTTGCGCCTTTTTATAAATTTTAATAGCCTTTGTGACTTAAGATAATTCTCATATGATTCAAGACATTTTCCAGAGCTCAAATCGAGTTTCTTGAATGTTAGATAACTGATAATTTTTCATAATAGTTTTTTTTTACATTTAAAGAAAAATGTTTCAGCTTGATTGTGCTCATTGTGTGTAAAAACAACTGCTCAGATGTAAACTTTGTCCAATTATCTTTCAACGATTTTGATGTTCATATGCATGTACAATTCTTTGCATTGCTTGCTATTTTGAATATACTTTAACAAATCAAAACTGAATTCAAGTTCTTCCTATAAATATTTTTAAATAAACCGTAGTCAAAGTTGAATTTAAATTCTTTTAAGCCTAGAAAATTGTTCTCCAATCCTGTGTCAATTAGCTGCCTTTGAGTTGGAAGTTTTAGAGCTTCCAATATCTACATTACGCAATAAAAAAAAACTACCGAACAATTATAGTTGTTAATGAGAATATTAGAGAACCTGTGTGCAAAAATATGTTAAATAGTAAATGCAACCGGCGTCTTAGTGTGAGTATTTCCCAATGTGAAAATTATTCTAACTATACGGCATAATACGAGCACGACTAATAAATTACAATTAATCTTCGAAAATTTTACATTCATAATTTAATGAGTGAACGGCCCCTTATTTTTTTCAGAAATAAATGGGGTCGTTAACATATTAAAAATTACAGTTTTTCCCCCTTTTTTTCCAACTTTCGGACAATGTTTTTTTTTCTTTCTTTTTTTTCTTCAGAAAAGTGGAAAATTAAATTAAGTACGTTCATTTGCTAAATAATTAAATCCCAATTCTTGCTTAACTTTAATTTTTGATCATTAAAACTTATATATTAACTTATAGTTTGATCATTAAACTTATCTTTTATTGTCAATAAAAATAATTCTTGAAAATTTTGTTCATGATTTCGTAGATTTTACTCTAAAAATAGCTCCGTGACTGTGAGAAAACCTTTTAGCAGGCTACTTTATAGGAACAAAGATGTCAACTTCTACAGACTCTAGTTACAACTGAAGAATTAAGTACATTTTCTGAAAACTCTGCAACATTCAATTTTTTTAAGTGTTTTTCTGGTAAATTTGTATAGTTTATGAACTTTTTTTGTCGATTCAATCTTAAAAAATATTCGATGAACTCTGATTCTTATCTCTACCAGTTTAATGTATTAAAACTTATTTAATTATTTAGGGAGAATTAACGTTTAAAATATCAAATATGTTTATTTTGATTTCGGGATTACAGTAAAGCATTTCTAGAGATCGGAATTCCTCAAAACAACTGAATGATAGAAATTGAATTGATATTGATTGAGAAGCTCACAATATTTGAAGGTGGAAGCCATTAAAAAGCGAAGTAATCGATTGATTGCTCATTGCAATGAAGAATATCGCTTTCAAAAGATTTTAAGTTTGAAAATTTTTATCACCATGTTGGTTGCATTCGTTATTTATCATATAGTTGTTGTTGTTTATCATAAATTTTAATACAGTTGGCTATAAATTATTTTATCTATAAATTATTTTAAATCCCATTTTCTATAATGCGGTGTTATGAGAAATCCATAAAACTGAAAGCGACATTTTAAATTTTAATCATTTTGCACTCAAACTCGAATAGTAAAGCCGAAAGTTTTACAATTCTGAATCATAAAATGGGTTAATAAGGCCAATCTAAGAAGAAAAAAGAAAAAAAAAACGTTTTGAGAGAACATAAGCAACATCAATTTGAATTGGTAATGCACGGACAGTTTAAAACTGTGATAGAAAATGATCTCCAAATCTTAAATGTTACAGTGTGCTGTGAGAGAACACACATTCGATTTTAAGATAGCTGCAAAAAAATATTTTTATTATGTACTTACTATAGGAAAAAAAAAGTCGCACGGTTAAACTAACTTTGCAACCTGCTCTTTAAACTTTGAAAGGCCAACTCTGTTATTCTGTAGATTAATTATAGATACAGTCTCTTCTATAGATAAATATTTATCTGGTTAAGTACTTAATAATATAAATGCACGTTTAAATTCGTGTGTTTAATGTATTTATCGATTTTCTCATATTGTAAACTTGCGGCGGGTATATTTTCTTACTCAATCTGGATGTATGTTGTGTTAGTATATATAAATATATATATTATATATCATTGTATGTAAAAAAAAATGGTTGAAAAATGTTACCATAAATAAATAAATAAAATTATATATTTGAATATTCTTTCTAAGTAATATAAATCTGTGAGAAATTTGGAGAGAAAAGATGGAGTTTTATATTTTCTACTTGCAAGTTGTGCTGTAATTAGCTTACTTTTATATGTAAAGGTACAAAAACTGAAGTACAATGGAAGAAATGAATGGTATGAAGTACTCATGACGAAAGAGGTTTTAAACTCAAAATGATTTGTATGTAAAATAGATATTTCATTCAATGTAATCGTATTTTTTCGAAAACGTGTGATACTACTTTGTCCGAAAAAATCCGGATTAGATAACTTAGATGTGAAAGAAATAAATGCTTTTCAAAGAGATTAGAAATACTGACGAATCTCTTGATAAATTATGAACTGATATTTATATATCCCTACGCAAGCTATGCAGTCCTAAATATTTGGTTGTTTTTATATATTTTTTCAGTGTTATGTGTTATTGTTTTGTGAAATTTTTTTCATTACAAGTAAACAATAAAAACATTTTAAAATTGTTTAAACAATAGGATGGATGCTAAATATTAGGTGATCATTTGCTTTCGTAGTAATTTAAAGTAGAAATATGTGTGCTTCGAATTATTTGTATAATTAAAATAAAGAATACAAGTAAAGTATTGAAATTATTTCTGATATTCGGGTGTGGAGTTTCTAAACCATATCGTTCCAATGATTTTTTTTTCGAAACTTGTTTTTTTAATTTCTTTTAGCAAAAAAATTTTCATTATTTATTTTAACACTCACTTTAATATTTTTGAACTATTAAAAAAAGCATATCTTTACGTTTTTTTTATTTAATGGTTTTACCATTATAAAATTTTTCTATTTCTAACCGAAAAAAATTTTTGTTGCATTTTTTTAAATGGAATTCAAAGCATTTTATTAATTTCCTAATTAAATTTTTTATACTTTATAGATTTTTTAAAAAAGAAAGACAGCTTTATTACTATCAATGCTATTTACAGTGAAAATTATTGTGAGCAAGTAAAGAATTGAAATTAGCTTTATTGGTATTTTTTTAAATAACTAAATAATTTTTAACTATAAAAATAACGATATTTTTGCAATGAAATTATCGAGGCCAATAATTTTCTATTCTGCAAAATTCTAAAATTAAATCGATATGGTTTTTAAACAAAACTCCTTATTAAATAAAAGCATTTAAAGACAATTTCCAATATTATTTATCTCATTTAGTTTTCGATAGTAAGTGGTAGTTTTCCTCTTTAAAAAGCCTGTAATGGGTATTTACTGTTAAATATTAATATAATTCAACTTTTGGGTATGTACTTACCTTTAATTTTGAATGTTTTTGCTGTTCTTGTATGACATACATTTGAGTCTTAGTATTTTTCACTATAATGTTCTACTTTTCATGCAAATACTAAATGTAATTGCTCGTAAAAGGAAAAAAAAACATTTTTCGATAATTTGTTACTTTCTAATTTTATAGAATTGTTCATTCGTGAAAAAAAACATTTTCTAGGTATTTTTACTAGACATTTAAATATATTTTTAATTTTTGTAAGACGGATGAAATAAACCTCTCTCTAAATACTTGGAATTTTTTAAACTCTTCATATTCTTCTGATGTTGTGATCATGGACTCGATTTAGTTTTTAAGTTAAGCAAATATCACTTTCATCCGTGTCTTTTGTAGCAATTTGTTGTTGCTGCTATATACAGATGAGTATGATAATCTTTGTAGCATTTTTGCCAATGCAGATTTATAATTCTTGTTCCACGTGTGTTCGTTCCTCTAATGTGATGTGCACATATAATATCTTATAGTTGTCAGATTTTTCATACGTTCTTATATTTTTAAGTTTGTAATAAACGTTTGAGCATTATTTCTATAAAAAAAATGATGTCTGTGTTTATTTCACATTTTACAACACTCACTGCCACACCTATACAAATCAAATGAATGCTGGATAATAAGTAATTTTAGTAAGTATTTGGAATGTGTGGTTAGACCTATACGATTATTTCTAAGACTTGTGATAAATATATTGGAATGATATATGACTTCTAAGACGGTTAATATTTTTTGTAAACATATAAATGTTAAAATATTATTAAAGTGCAATGTAAATTGAAATGATGTTTTTTCAGAGCAAAAAGAAAGTTTTCCTAATTTTTTTTCTCGCAATTTTTAGTTTTTTTAATATTTCAGAAAAATTAATCCATTATTTAATTATTTTTATTTTACTAAACATATATGAAAATTATTATTATTAGATGTATTATGAATATTCCACTTTATTTTAAATCACTTTAAATTTAAATTGTAATTTTCTTAAAATGTTGCCCTTCCTTAATCGAGAAACTGCGAAATTCTTTTACTCTCGAAAGTAATTTTCTTTTAGACAATCATTTCTTTTGGAAGTGTGGTTTTTAAAATTTTTTAATAATTAAAATGGGTTTTTACCATTTTAATTATTAAAAAATTAAAGTGGAAAAAATAATTAAATAATGGATTAATTTTTTTAAGTTAATCCACTAATCTTAAATTTTTTTGTTTACCCCTGCAAATGTTTAGCTATTAATCGAGTCTAATGTAAAAAATAACTGATAAAATGTAAGTCTCGTCTTACATCGCAAAAAGAACCAAAGAATGAGATTCAAGAATATTAATACGGAGGAAAAGAATATTTCCATTTTCTACGCTTTTTTCTTCTGTTATCAATATTAGGAAAAAAGAATTAAAACTTAAATGCTTAAAGAATAATTATCCTTATTTTCCAATGAAGCGGCAATTAATGTAATTCACGTGATAAAATAGGGAAATACAAGGAAACACATGAACATTACACACTTCTTATTTCTAACACTCAATTCGTAACTGATTTTTGAGTTTCAGAAAATAAACTTAAATGAAAATATTTGAACCCAATAACGTAAAATATGAATAAGTCTATAAATTTAACGCGTAAAGTTCACAAAAATATTCTAACGTCGTAATTCACAAAAAGACCAAACGTCGTAAGTACCGATCACCAATGTCAAATTGCTATTTTCCCATTCATTGACATCCATATTCATTTCTTTTTTTTTCATCGCACTAAAGCTACACCGTGTAATATTGGCGATGGTCAGGGAAACATCACTGAGGATGATCCGGAGACAACATACATACGATATAGTATCTCAGGCCTTTCATGCACCATCTATCCTTAGGCAG